TGTGTACCTGTTTGTATTTACAGCTGTGTGCTGTGTACCTGTTTATATTTACAGCTGTGTGCTGTGTACCTGTTTGTATTTACAGCTGTGTGCTGTGTACCTGTTTGAATACATAGTGCAGGGATGTGCGGCTAAAGTCAGACCTAAGTCGGAGTACAACATTGGCTGTCCTGAGCTCTATGCTGCCCTGTCTCTGTGTTACCAGGTAAGTGCTATTGGAACATGTTAAGAAATGACTTCTGTTTGTATGGATATTCTTCTTCAGCATACTGTACACTATGTGTATGTATGTGAGTGTTCTGGCAGGCTGGTGATTTTGTTTGCGAATTTGTGTATTTGGTGTGCATGTTGCCGAGTCTTGTAGGCTGGAGTGCTTGTAAGACAAACCAAGGTGAATGAAATCTCAAGTTCTTTTGTCCAGTTCATTAGTTTACTTGTAGCAACCACCAATTCCTTCTCTATCTCCTTCCATGTTTCTAACACAGCTTTCTGTACATATCTCTCCTTCCCTCATTACAATACTTAGGATTATTTTTTTTCTCATTTCTCAATTCTTTCTTTTTGGTGCCATCTTCCTAACCACATGACCTATGACCTTTGAGGCTAAACCCCATACAAACAATTGACCTTTAACCCAATCTCTTTGATCATGCCTTCCCTCTACTCCACCTATTAGTTATACTAAAAGGTTGGAATGTATCTCATAAACAAGTTAATTATCTACCATTTTTATTGGACAGCCAGCTATCAGGTGGTCAGATGTCCACCGATCCATGGAGGTTTCCAGACTCTGACTTGTTCCCCCTACAGTTAAACCTTGGTAAACTGGCACCATTGGTCCAGAGAAAAGTTGGTGTTATAAAGGGGTTTGGCAATATTTGGAGGCTGATTTATAGGGAGTTCTTAAGAAAACAAGATAAAATGACGTTGAAATATTTTGGCAATAAACGGATTGGCAAATGCAAAGATGGGTATTATATAGGGGTTTTACTGTATACAACCGAGGGGCATTATATCGATCAACCGAGGGGCTTAATACTGAGGTTTTACTGTATATAACCGAGGGGCTTTATATCAAGGTTTTACAGTATATAAACGAGGGGCATTATATCAAGGTTTTACTGTATATAAACGAGGGGCATTATATCGAGGTTTTACTGTATATAAACGAGGGGCTTTATACCGAGGTTTTACTGTATATAAACAAGGGGCATTATATCGAGGTTTTACTGTATATAACCGAGGGGCTTTATACTGAGGTTTTACTGTATATAACGAGGGGCATTATATCGAGGTTTTACTGTATATGAACGAGGGGCTTTATATCGAGGTTTTACTGTATATAGCCGAGGGGCTTTATATCGAGGTTTTACTGTATATAACCGAGGGGCATTATACTGAGGTTTTACTGTATATAACCGAGGGGCTTTATACTGAGGTTTTACTGTATATAACCGAGGGGCTTTATATCGAGGTTTTACTGTATATAAACGAGGGGCATTATATCAAGGTTTTACTGTATATAAACGAGGGGCATTATATCGAGGTTTTACTGTATATAAACGAGGGGCATTATATCAAGGTTTTACTGTATATAGCCGAGGGGCTTTATATTGAGGTTTTACTGTATATAAACGAGGGGCTTTATATCGAGGTTTTACTGTATATAACCGAGGGGCTTTATATCGAGGTTTTACTGTATATAAAGAGGGGCATTATATCGAGGTTTTACTGTATATAAACAAGGGGCATTATATTGAGGTTTTACTGTATATAAACAAGGGGCTTTATATTGAAGTTTAACTGTATATAACCGAGGGGCATTATACTGAGGTTTTACTGTATATAAACGAGGGGCTTTATATCGTGGTTTTACTGTATACATGTATAAACGAGGGGCATTATACTGAGGTTTTACTGTATATAAGCGAGGGGCTTTATATCAAGGTTTTACTGTATATAACCAAGGGGCTTTATATTGAAGTTTTACTGTATATAACCGAGGGGCTTTATATTGAAGTTTTACTGTATATAAACGAGGGGCTTTATATTGAAGTTTTACTGTATATAACCGAGGGGCATTATATCAAGGTTTTACTGTATATAAACGAGGGGCATTACTTCATGGTTTTACTGTACTTTCTCATGATTTGACATGACATGGTATACCCCCTTGCTCTTTTCACTTCTGCAATGTTTGCTCCTGGTCCGTTTCTATGATAAGCTGAACACCATGGTTCCTACATTGTCTCACAGTAGCACTATCTTCTCAGGAGTCAGTTGTCAGTTCCTTCACTATCTTCTCAGGAGTCAGTTGTCAGTTCCTTCACTATCTACTCAGCAGTCAGTTGTCAGTTCCTTCACTATCTACTCAGCAGTCAGTTGTCAGTTCCTTCACTATCTACTCAGCAGTCAGTTGTCAGTTCCTTCACTATCTACTCAGCAGTCAGTTGTCAGTTCCTTCACTATCTACTCAGCAGTCAGTTGTCAGTTCCTTCACTATCTACTCAGCAGTCAGTTGTCAGTTCCTTCACTATCTTCTCAGCAGTCAGTTGTCAGTTCCTTCACTGTCATCAGACATACACTTATTTACATTAAATGGATTTCTCTCACTTTTACAATCTTTAATTATACAACTCACTGTTTTCCAATTCTTCTATATCATATTTGTATCTGAATTTTACCTTTTTGTAGGCCGGGGTATTTGTGTCCAGGTCGTCTGTCCAGTTGCTACGGATACAGCGAATAGAGATACTGACCATTCTACAGGCCATCAACATGGTCATCTGGCTGTTTGATGTACATGTAAGTACAACACACGTGTTTAATGTACCCTTAATGTACACCACATGTGTTTGACTTCATCTCGGTCAATAATATTTTCTCAGATCTATATAACCATATATTCACCTCGACAAAACTCCATAATCGATATATATTCAATAAGAGATATAATAATTGCCATCCCTAATCAACCTCTGTATTCTATGTAGTACAAGTTCATGCCGACATCCATTTTGCCTGTCGTGATGATATATGTTGGTCTCCTTGGTGGCGCCTCCTATGTTAACATCTTCTTCCGATTACTTCACGATGATGTGTATCCTGATAAGGACAGAGAACTCTGTATAAATATTGTGGCTATCTTCATCACTCTAGGTAAGTTGATACAGAAAAAAAAAATTCGCCTTATTAAGGACAGAGAATTCTGTAGATACCGTAAAAATGTCGCATTGATAAGGACAAAGAACTAAACATGTCTGTAGTGAAAATGAATCATTACCTCTACCATTCAGTTTGATACGCCTATGAATGCACATTTTAAAAATAAAGTCATCCTACAGTTTAAAGTGACAGTAGAATTTTCTTAGCACATTTTTTTTTTATATTATGTAGCTCATGCTCCTATGATTTTCAGGCATAGTGTTGGGAACTGTATCAGAGACCATACTTTTCAACACTGTTCTAAAATCTGACTAGCGCAGACTTTCTACAGAGGCTGTACTCCACAAAGGACTAGCAACCTCAACTACACAAACAGACTAGCAGTCTCCATACCTTATAGTCTTTTGCTGTCTCACCTGTCTTAAGGGACCATCTAACAGTCTACAGTGTAAAATGTCCTACCTACAGTGTTCAATCCAATCAAGCGGGCACACCTGTTCAAAAGACCATCCATATACATTTAGTTAAGCTTTAAGTGATTGCCAGCTCCCTAAAAATCTTAGTGTACCCATCATCAGTCTAATCTAGTCACCAACAGTTCTGTTTTAGATATTTATTTATGTCACATTATGGGAGTTTATTCTAAATTTCTATGATCAAGATGTCTAGTTAAGGTACAGAACATGTTCATATTAATTTTAGATGGAAGGATCAACACTGGTATGCTATCTATAGAAATAGATGATAGGATTACAGATGTTCTTAGAGTTGTCTACCTTCCCCTGCTATGCTTGGGTGTATAGACTGGCCATGATGTATGTGTTGGTAACATATGTCATCTATAGACTGGGGTTGTGCAATACTGTAAACCATACTCAAGTTTATTCCTGTGAAGAGCTGCTTGTTGAGATATTTTATTGGTGTTGTGTCTACAGCTCAGTGTAGTTACCACAAATGTTTTACAATATATTTTTTAAAGTTCTTTGAATTGTTCAGGTCTGAATGGTCAAATGATGATGTAAAGAGTATTGTGCATGATTGCTTGTCTTTCAAATAAATTTCCCAGAATAACTATATTTGTTTTTGTGGTTGTGTCATGTATACCTCAAAACAGTATGTGGAGGTTTTTGCATGAACCTTTTGTAGATTCATGCAAAAACACGGTTTCACAGGTGTCTCTATGACATGACAATAGGGCGCAATATTTATTTCTAATAATTATAATATTTTATGCTCTTTGTGATTGAATTTGCTTTTCGTAGCATTTTTGTATGACCATTATGTTTAATGTGTATTGAAAGCAGACTGATGTGATAATAAACAATTAGCCTTGTGATGTGATATTATACTATCCTACAATACATCTCCAGCAAACACTCAGACATACACACATAGGGAGATATTAGCCAGGTGGCATAGGACAAGAAGTTAGTGCCTGATAATGCAGCTCCTGCAAATTCCTCAAAATTGTATTGATTAATGTACATTATGTATATGCTAATTGTATTAATTGTATATCTATGTACTTCAGAGTGGCTTATGTTATCTAGATAGGGCGCTATATCAAATCTGTATTAGTATTATTATTATTAATACTGTTTAATAAATGTGTTTACATCATGCTATGTTATTAGTTCAATAATTAATAGAATGATGAGTTCTTAAAAGAAATGCAGAATTTCTACTTACGTGTACATGGGAAAAACACAGAGAAAATGTGAAAATAATGGTAAAAAAATGACTTGACTTGATTTAGATTAACATGGTAGGTTTGGTTGGTGAAAATATCTTTCCCTTTTAGAAACTGGTATATTATTTTTCTCATACTCTTTCAATGGTTTCAATGTGAAATTTTCCTTTGCCCATATTCTGTCATAATTTCGTGAATTTGATTTCACCACACACAGTTTTACCTTTGTTTAAACTTTAATATTCTCTCTTTTTTTTTTAAATAATGCAAAGATACTGGACGAAGCGGAGAATATATCAACAACAAAAAGGATATGATTAATAACTTAAGTCTAGAATTCTGGTCTGTGATTGGTCAGTTCTAGAGATAAAATTGTGGATACATTCAGGTCAACCTTAAAGGCAAAATGGATTATGTAAACGTAGAAGTATTGTATCCCGTGACATGGTACTACTGATTGGGACAATGGTACTACTGACTGGGACATGGTACTACTGATTGGGACAATGGTACTACTGACTGGGACATGGTACTACTGATTGGGACATGGTACTACTGACTGGGACATGGTACTACTGATTGGGACAATGGTACTACTGACTGGGACATTATACCGCTGACTGATATGGTATCACTGACTGTGACATGGTACTACTGACTCGGACATTATACCGCTGACTGTGACATGGTATCACTGATTGGGACAATGGTGCTACTGACTGGGACAATGGTACTACTGACTGTGACATTATACCGCTGACTGTGACATGGTGCTACTGACTGGGAGAATGGTACTACTGACTGGGACTTAATACCGCTGACTGACATGGTATCACTGATTGGGACAATGGTACTACTGACTGGGATATTATACCGCTGACTGTCACATGGTATCACTGATTTGGACAATGGAACTACTGACTGGGACATGGTACTACTGACTGGAACAGTGGTACTACTGACTTGGACAATGGTTCTACTGACTGGGACAATGGTACCACTGACTGGGACATTATACCGCTGACTGTGACATGGTATCACTGATTGGGACAATGGTACTACTGACTGGGACAATGGTGCTACTGACTGGGACAATGGTGCTACTGACTGGGACAATGGTACTACTGACTGGGACATGGTACTACTGACTGGGACAGTGGTATCACTGACTGGGACAATGGTACTACTGACTGGGACATTATACCGCTGCTTTTGACATGGTACCACAGGACATTATACCGCTGACTGTGACATGGTATCACTGATTTGGACAATGGAACTACTGACTGGGACATGGTCCTACTGACTGGGACAGTGGTATCACTGACTGGGCCAATGGTACTACTGACTGGGCCATTATACCGCTGACTGTGACATGGTATCACTGACTGGGACAATGGTACCACGGATTTGGACAATGGAACTACTGACTGGGACATGGTACTACTGACTGGAACAGTGGTACTACTGACTGGGACAATGGTACTACTGGACAATGGTACTACTGACTGGGACATGGTACTACTGACTGGGACAGTGGTATCGCTGACTGGGACAATGGCACTACTGAATGGGACATTATACCACTGACTGTGACATGGTATCACTGATTGGGACAATGGTACTACTGACTGGGACATTATACGTCCTACTGACTGGAACAGTGGTACCGCTGACTGGGACAATGTTATCACTGACTGGGACAATGGTACTACTGACTAGGACATTATACCGCTAACTGTGACATGGTATCACTGACTGGGACAATGGTACTACTGACTGGGACATTATACGTCCTACTGACTGGAACAGTGGTACCGCTGACTGGGACAATGTTATCACTGACTGGGACAATGGTACTACTGACTAGGACATTATACCGCTAACTGTGACATGGTATCACTGACTGGGACAATGGTACTACTGACTAGGACATTATACCGCTGACTGTGACATGGTATCACTGATTGGGACAATGGTACTACTGACTGGTACAATGGTACTACTGATTGGGACAATGGTACTACTGACTGGGACAATAGTACTACTGACTGGGACAATGGTACTACTGACTTGGACAATGGTACTACTGGACAATGGTACTACTGACTGGGACATTATACCGCTGACTGTGACATGGTATCACTGATTTGGTTAATGGTACTACTGACTGGGACAATAGTACTACTGATTGGGACAATGGTACTACTGGACAATGGTACTACTGACTGGGACATTATACCACTGACTGTGACATGGTATCACTGATTGGGACAATGGTACTACTGACTGGTACAATGGTACTACTGATTGGGACAATGGTACTACTGGACAATGGTACTACTGACTGGGACATGGAACTACTGACTGGGACAGTGGTATCGCTGACTGGGACAATGGCACTACTGACTGGGACATTATACCACTGACTGTGATATTGTATCACTGATTGGGACAATGGTACTACTGACTGGAACAGTGGTATCGCTGACTGGGACAATGTTATCACTGACTGGGACAATGGTACTACTGACTAGGACATTATACCGCTGACTGTGACATGGTATCACTGATTTGGACAATGTTACTACTGACTTGGACAATGGTACACATGTACTACTGACTGGGACAATGGTACTACTGGACAATGGTACTACTGACTGGGCGAGTGGTATCGAAGATTGGAACAATGGTATCACTGATTATCCCGCTGCTTTTACTGACTGGGTGAGTGGTATCGAAGATTGGAACAATGGTATCACTGACTGGGACAATGGTACTACTGACTGGGACATTATCCCGCTGCTTTTGACATGGTACGACTGATTTGGACAATGGTACTACTGACTTGGGCATGGGACTACTGACCGGGACAATGGTATCACTGATTGGGACATTGTACCACTGACTGGGACATGGTACTACTGACTGGGAAAATGGTACCACTGACTGGGACAATGGTATTACTGATTGGGACATGGGATAACTGACTGGTACAATGGTACTACTTACTGGGACAATGGTACTTTTGACTGGAACATGATCCTACTGACTGGGATATGGTACTTCTGACTGGGACAATGCTATTACTGACTGGGACATGGTATCAATACCGCTGACTGTGACATGGGATCACTGATAGGGACAATGGTACGACTGACTGGGACAATGGTACTGCTGACTGGGACAATGGTACTAATGACTAGGACATTATACCGCTGACTGTGACATACATGGGATAACTGACTGGTACAATGGTACTACTTACTGGGACAATGGTACTTTTGACTGGAACGTGATCCTACTGACTGGGATATGGTACTTCTTACTGGGACAATGGTATTACTGACTGGGACATGGTATCACTGTCTGGTACACTGTACCACTGACTTTTCATATGGTACGACTGACTGGGACAATGGTACTGCTGACTGGGACAATGGTACTAATGACTAGGACATTATACCGCTGACTGTGACGGTACCACTGACTGGGACAATGGTACCGCTGACTGGGACATGGTACTACTGATTGGGACAATGGTACTACTGACTGGGACAATCACCGACTGTGACATGATACCACTGATTGGGACAATGGTACAACTGACTGGGACAATGGTACTGCTGACTGGGTGAGTGGTATCGCTGATTGGGACAATGGTATAACTGACTGGGACATTATACCTCTGAGTTGGACATGGTATCACTGATTTGGACAATGTTACTACTGACTGGGACATTATACTTCTGACTGTGACATGGTATCACTGCTTACTGGGACAATGGTACTTTTGGCTGGAACATGATCCTACTGACTGGGATATGGTACTTCTTACTGGGACAATGGTATTACTGACTGGGACATGGTATGGACAATGGTACTACTGGACAACGGTACTACTGACTGGGACAATAGTACGACTGACTGGGACAATGGTACTTCTGACTGGGTGAGTGGTATCGAAGATTGGAACAATGGTATCACTGACTGGGTGACTGTGACATGGTATCACTGACTGGGACATGGTACTACTGACTGGAACAATGGTACTACTGACTTGGGCATGGGACTACTGACTGGGACAATGGTATCACTGATTGGGACATTGTACCACTCACTTGGGCATAGTACTACTGACTTGAACAATGGTACTACTGACTGGGACATTATACTGCTGACTGTGACATGGTATCACTGATTGGGACAATGGTACTACTGACTGGGACATGGTACTACTGACTGGAACAGTGGTACTACTGACTGGGACAATGGTACTACTGGACAATGGTACTACTGACTGGGACAATGGCACTACTGACTGGGACATTATACCGCTGACTATGAGATGGTATCACTGTTTGGGACAATGGTACTACTGACTGGGACATTATACCGCTGACTGACATGGTACCACTGATTTGGACAATGGTACTACTGCCTGGGACAATGGTACTACTGACTGGGACATTATACCGCTGACTATTATACCGCTGACTATGAGATGGTATCACTGTTTGGGACAATGGTACTACTGACTGGGACATTATACCGCTGACTGACATGGTACCACTAATTTGGACAATGGTACTACTGACTGGGACAATGGTACTACTGACTGGGACATGGTACTACTGACTGGAACAGTGGTACTACTGACTGGGACAATGGTACTACTGACTGGGACAATGGTATTTCTGATTGGGACATGGGATAACTGACTGGGACAATGGTACTACTTA